TTGAAAAGGTCCGATTTCCTCGTTGCGACCTTTATGGCCCCTGCGTGTGCCTTTACTAAAGAATTTACTAACATGGCGAATGAGTCGATGGAGTTTGGTGGCAGGATGTGATACCAAATCATTGCTCCCTTCGAAAGGGTCTCTCCAATTTTTTTTAACAGTACAAATTTGATTTCATCATCTTCTAGGTCATTCCCTTTAATGGCACATATATAAGAGGTGACATGTTCGTTGGGGTCGGTTGTTCCATTATATTTAGGAATATCGGGCATGCGGAATTTTTTGGGGATCGGTTGGGTTGCACTTGGTGGAAAAAGCTTTTGCACGATTTTTTTGGAATCCAAACCTTTCGACACTAGTGGCGCCCTCGGGATCTTATCGACCCTGGAGTTATACGTTTTCACCTTTTTGTCGTTTGCCTCGATCCTCATTTCTCCTGATTATATTCGTTTGGTCAGTTCTTCGAACATCTTAGTAATTCCGGGATGAGTCCCCGATTCTTGTTCATTTGACCTTACTATAGCTGGCTCCGTTCTGTGGGTAATTTCTCAGGGTGGACTGGGCTCCGGTCTGCTCGGTACCTAGGTTTGACTCTGCAACTGAGCTATCGCTACCTCTTGAGCTTGTAACATTTCGAAAATCATACGTAAGATGATTCTGTTTTACTCAACATTATGGGTGTCTCGAGCTGCAGATCGAGTACCACCATGAATGTTATTTTCAGGTTCAGAACGTTGGTTTGCCTCAATAGCCACATGCGAATTAACGTCTAATGGTACTTCGACTCGGGCCCCAACGGCATCGACAAGCGGCCTCTCGTCCCTGGGCATCAAGTTGTTGTTCTCGCCTTGAAGGTCAGCTTCGTTATCGATAGATAAGGCCATTAATTGAGAGTTCATTATTGCTAATCCGAAATCAAAGATTCTTTCAACAACAAGCGTAAAATGGTGTGTTTTGCAGATTCGTATCAAATAACCACTATTATCCTCAGCCCTACGGTGGGCGCCAAACTATTTACCCGAAAAATGAATATAGTTGAATTTGTACGTAGTTTTAAGGGTACGCAGTATAACTTGATACAAATCGTATAAGCGGAAATATCGAATATTGACTATCAAAAATTAAAATACAAACAAGGTTGAAGGGAGGATGATTTATGAGTAAGCAAGATGAAAATAATATATAAAGCTCAAAATGATAATCTCTCAATATAGAGCCTATGCACAGTATCTGAGTTATGGTGTCTTAATGTCTCAATGCACCCTAACAAAGATAATAGCCATCCCTCTTATAGTGGGGGATCCTACTTTAGATATAATTAAAAATACATAGCGGGAAACCATGACAAATCAAGTTTCCCTTTTTTTCCTACCGAGATTATTTCCTTTAGTGCGGCTGTAATGACTCTTGTCTATAGGCTCGATATTGACTTGAGCTCGATACTGAATCGAGCTCGATGTTGATTCGAGCTCGATTTTGACTCGGGGTCCGATATTGATTCGGGCTCAACATTGGTCGGTATTTGGCTCTCGAGCTCGTTAACGTTGCTTCACATCATGGTTCGATTTGGATTCGATCTCGATAATGACTTCAAGCTCGGTATTAATCGGTCCCTGAAACTCGAAGCTAGGTAACCCGACTTCGGATCTTATCCCGAAATTATGAAGACGCTCTTAGGTCCATTATGTTCCCATATCGATCAGTCGTACGAAGGCCGAAATCGGTTTCGACCGTATACACTCTTAACTCTACGTGATCGCGCTACCCCGTATGCAATCACTAAGTTTGACTATTTAACCATTCGCAATTCCATACAAGCTATCACGATTGAAAAACCTAGCACCAGAAAATTTGCAATTTCAACTTGTTATAAAATGTACTGAAACTCACCCGAGCCCCTCGGATCGCAACTCGAAGCATAAACTGTAAGTGCCAATATATGCCAATATGTACAATGCTTTAAAACGTGATTTTGACCATAAATAGGCAAAACAAGGGGTTTGATCGTTACAACAACAACAAGAAGAAGAAGTCAACAACAACAACAACGACATACCCAGTATAATCCCACAAATGGGGTCTGGGGAGGGTAGTGTGTACGCAGACCTTACCCCTACCTGGAGAGGTAGAGAGGCTGTTTCCGATAGACCTTCGGCTCAAGAACACTGTAATATTATCTTGTAAAAATTTATAGTTTCTATTTTTAGGTTAAAATTTAAAACTTGCTTCTATTGGACTTCTGTGGGTCAAGTTATATGCCCAACCAATGAGGGGCCAAGTAAAATATTTAAGGGGTCCATCGTATATACAATATAATATATATAGGTCTGTCTATGGTATAGAAGGTATCGCGATACAGTAAGGCCTCATTTGTTTGCACTTAATGGAGGTCTGAATCTTAATCATTCAAATCTCAGACATTAAGTGCGTTTGTTTTCAAAGTCTGAATCTTAATTATTCAGATCTATATTGCTAAGTGTATTTATTTTTTTACTTCGTAACCACTTAATGGGTCTGAATAGGTATTGATGATAGGCTATAATTACGTATTTTAGTCGCTTATTACACTCTAATTTACTACGCTTTAATTGAGTTTGAACTTTAATCGCTAGTATTTTGCACTAATTGTGTGTTTTATGCCTTGTAGGAGTGATTTTGAGCTATGTAGATGCTATGGAATGAATTCAAGTGATTTGGATCTTTGAAATCTGAGTAAAAGCCCAAGGAATTAAGCCGGAATCGTGTTCGGGGATCAAGGGATGATAGTTAAGAACGAACGAAGAATCGAGTAGGTATATTGTGCACTGTCTAGTATAATGCACATAACTTTTCTCTCATAACTCTATTTAGTATCCACAATATATGGTTGGAAAGATAATTCAAAGAGCTACAACCTTTATGTTTTATGGTTTTCCAAATTCCAAACAGAATAGGGTGCAAAACACGGTCGAATCTGCGGCAGCGGACGTCTTGACCTGGAAAAGTGTCCTTTTTCGCGTAGAAGAGGGTATAATTGTTTGGGCCGGACCCTACTTGGTATATATACATGAAAAAACGGTATTTTGAGGACTTTTGACATATTGTTGACACAATTTAGACCTAAGGAGGCTAAGGAGACTGTGGATTCGACCTAAGGAGGCAAGAACACACTAGGAGCAAGGCGGAGAATTCTTCTACAAGTTTCTCACTTCCTTCTTCCTATTTCTATTATTGGTTATGAATTCTAGTATTGTAGTTATGCATACTATTATGAACAGCTAATTTGTTATCTAGGGTTTTGATGGAACCTTTTGTAGGATGAATTCTTATTATGTTTTAATATAATTTAGCCTTTGAATTCATCTATTTGTTCAACTACGTGTTTATTTCAGTTGATTGAATGGCCATCGATTGACTGTGCCTATTTATTATGTGTTGCTTGAGAAAGGATACATATTTAGGTGGTTGTTGAACAATGTCACTCCTAACGCATGTGAGAAATCAATACAGTAGGTTTAAAGGTAGGTTTAGAAATAACAAAGCCTTGACGTGGTCATAGTGAGCAGTTCGATGAAGCCAACTAGCGTAGTAAATTATTGTAGTTGCTCGAGAGAGAATTACAGCACCTAAAGTGCTCATGATCAGTAGAGAATACATAGGCGAAATTGCAGGGAATATAGCGGGAAGGATTCCGACAATTGAAAAAATCATAACTCTAGACCTCCTTAATTTAGTCTCCAACCTTTTGTCTCGTTAGTTGATAAGTTTACCGCTTTCTAGTATTTGCTAGTTAATTCGTTAGAAATATAAATCTCAATCTTTATAATTTAGACAATTGTTCAAACTTGTCTTATTAGTGATATTAAAAAGCTATAGCTAAGCCTTAGTTCTCTGTGGGATTCGACTCCGAACTTTTAGACCGAATTATATTTGCAGCGGCCGCTTATCCTTTTTAGGACTAGAGTTGGGCGTGATCAGTTATGTATCATTAAGATCTATAACAGAGACTTAATTTCATTAAGATGCTATCATCTATATTCATTATTAACTGCCGCCATCGCCTACCATTATCAACTACCACCATGCCACCCACCACCACCACCATCCTCAATCATAGCCGCCATCATTGTCGACTACCACTACCCACCATCCCCACCACTCCCATCACCATCATTAACGACAACTAACATTCATCCACGGCAACTACTACAACTAATCACCCCATCACTATCAACAATCATAGTTGGTACTGACCATCATTATAAACTACCACCATATACCACCATCTTCCTCAATTACAACAACCACCACCACCACCCGCCATTATCAAGTATCACCACTCACTACTACCATCCTCAATCATAATAGCTACCACTACCAATCACCACTAGCTACTACCCTAAACTACCACCAACCACCGCTTTTAGTCAGCATTCACAAGCACTACCGTTAGCCATCATCACCACCAGCAACTATCATATTTTAAAAAGCTATATATTTTAGTTATGTAATATTAGATTAACTAGTATTTTATTTGAATTTTATGTTTATTAATTTTCAAATAAACGTAAATTTTATACATTCAAATGTTGAAAATCAAACAGTTTTAATTATTTAGTATTCAAATCTTAATACACATATTGACATTCAGATATATATTCAGATTCACATGTTTTAATCTTAATACACATATTGACATTCAGATATATATTCAGATTCACATGTTTTAATCTTAATACACATTTTGATATTCAGACGTGTATTCAAATTCAGACGTCCTAATCTTATAAAAAAACAAATGAGGCCTAAGCGAATAGTACAAGATACTTTATTTCTTATTTTAACTTTTATAAAATTTTAGCATTATCACTTTTATTTACGGATCTTTTCATTTAATCTTAACTTAAATAATCAATAAAATTGCCTTTTTTTTTGTAGTAGGAAAGAGGGTTAACGTCATTGCCAAAGCCATAACTTCTAGATCTTTCGCGCGTCAATTTACGCCAGCACTTGCGTGGCAAGAGAACACCCAACGCTCACGTTAAAATCATTTCCCATTAAATTTCTAACTTGTACCGCCCCTTGTTAGCGAAAATTGGCCTTCTGTTTGAAAACTATTATTCTCGTAAATCACCGATCAAAAGGTAAGAATTTTTCTCAATTCTCTATTTAAATTTGCAGCTAATGAATTAAAATGCTTTTTTAGGAACAAATTTGCTTTATGTTTGGGAATTTTTGAGGTTTATTCCGATTCATTCCGCATTTTTTGCTACAAAATACTTAACTATCCAATCGTATTCTGGTAGAACTTCGGCTTTGTTGAGTTTTGAGAATATAATTGGCCAAAGGCAGATAAAGGAGGATACAATTATAAAAATATTTAAATTATGATAGATCATTTGTATATATTGAAAATTAAGTAAAGTGGAATGGAAATATATGATTCATATAGTTGACTCAGTTAGTACCCTCTGTTTCAATTTGTTTGAAACCTTTTCAGCGTACAAGTGTCAAAGTGACTAATTTTGAATTGGAGCATAGATTCTCTTACGTTTTCTGAAATAAAATTTACAAATTTAGAATATAAAAAGTACAATAAGCCACTGTACTTAACAATTCAAAATATTTAAAAAATTTGAAAAAAATATGGTAAAAGAAAACCTTGTTTGACTCCCCAAATAGTAATAGGTTCATTCTTTTTGAAATGGAGGGTGTACTAGTTTGAGATTGAGTTGTAGTTGATTTGATGATGATTGATAATTGGGATATTGTTATCCGGTAGATGAGCTGGTGGGAGATAGTAGGTAGAGGTGCCCGCATGCTAGTCCGGACACAACCGTCATAAACATAATAATAATTGGGATATTGTTACTTTCTAGGTGTCTTGTCAATTCAACTTTTAAAATAAAGAGAGAAACTACAGAACTGTCAGTTATTCCCGGTGTAGAGATAACTAATTCAGTCTTTAGGGTGCTTGATAATTGGATTGGCTACAGAATAGTACTGGATTGAGGTTTGAAAGAGATAACTAGTTTAACAAGACGGAAAATTTGGTTTTGAGCATTACACAGTTATTAAAGAAGGGATAAACTGACTTCTCCTTAGCGTTGGTTTACATGAATGATGTATTCATGTTTACCGGAGATCGGAGAAATCAATCAATCAACTATGCTTCAACCCCAAACTAATTGGATTTGGCTATATAAATTCGCTGTATCATTATGCTCTATCTAGGATCCATTTTATTCCAGTACTTAATAGTTGTCTCTAGGCGAATTAGGGGTTCTCTAATTATGGGGAATTTTTAAAATTCACATTATCACTACACTATTAAATATTAATACTAATATCTTAAATCTGGAGGTTGGAGAAATATGTGTTGAAATTTCTAGATGATCACATGGCGTATTGTTAAGTGCAAAAAGATGAGGAGGAGGTTGGGATTGATTGCAGCACAGCAGTATTTGTAAGACTAGAGCGGGCTTAAACAGATCCAAGATTTGTAAAAAAAATAATCCAAGGATTAACTCATTCCAGATGACTAAATTATCTTTTTTTCAGTCTAAGGGCATGATAAATATTGTGACTAGATCATCATCTCTGACAAAGTTGCAGTATTTTAAGGTAATCAAACCAGCTACTGTAAATACTGATGGCATCATAGAAACATGTGCTGAATATCACTTGTTCTACTGGAGTTACTGAAATGTAGGCATGGAATTGAGGTTGGTTGAGGTTGACTACAACAACAACAACTACGCCTCAGTCACAAACAAGTTGGAGCTGGCTATATGAATCCTCACTAACCATGTTACATTAGGTTGAGTTTGACTATAGCAACATATTGTTTTCTACCTAAAAGTTTAGGAGTTATGTTGCTTTTTTTTTTTCCTTGCTCATTTCACTCTTAAACGATGAATACAGTGTTATCACAATAGAGTAGCAACCTCTGTCCAACTCCAGCTACCCCCAAATTTTACAAATATATTTAAATCTGTGGATACAGTTGTACCCAAGTTTCTAATGATCTTGGGAACAAAAAGATTTCAAGCATTTCAGTTGTTGATGTGATCCTAGGGTGCGTAAAACTCTTAAGGAAAAAAGGAGAAAAAATCCAAATATTGTAAAAAGGGCTCACTTTGTGCACAAAGTACTGTACAGAGCCTTCCCCTTGCATACATTAATGGGAAAAAGGTGTCCCAGAGACCAGTTTTCATTAACTTTTTGAGTATATACTTTAGTGGATTGTAACCATAGTAAGATTATGGGTCCAATGAAGAATTGTAATATGCTTTGTTATGAAACCTAATAGATATTCCATTGGTTCTTGACTTTGCCGCATAATGTGGAACGATATCTATACCACAATAAAATTAGTTGGGGATCAACTTAGATTAAGAGTAGGGAGCATGCTTTTTCTCTCAAATGTTGGACTTGAAATGGAGCTTTTCTGTGAGTGATTATCTGAACTCATTCCATAGAGGTGGAACTTAATTCAAATTGAATTCGATATGAGAAGATTGTTCCACTTCATATCGAAAGGGATGCTCCTGTTTCCATTGAGTGGTCGATTTTCAGCTTTTTCAAACTGAAAAATTCAGAAGCTGACTTGAGCTAAGGTTCGACATGGTACCTTGATTCTGGTGTCCCAAAGCATTATTAGCAGAGGTTAAAACAAATGCATTTGGTTGACGACTTACCTTCATTCTTCAGGATTATCCTTAGTGGTCTAAACTGTAACTTATATGCCATAAAAGATGCAGCTTCTAGCTTCAATAGATAGGATTCAATATACTGTTTGTGCCAGAAGGCTCAGAACGCATTTCTACACGAACACTAGAAAATAGTTTAAAATACAAACAAATTGGTTGATACTTGTGGTTCTCCTTTTTAAGACTAGCTAAAGTTTGTGTGTTTGATGATGGCTTACTTGTATGCTCTTATTAGATAAAGAAACCCATGCAGTGGCAGGAGACATGTCACTTGTCTGTTATATGGAGAGGGAAGAAGTTTAGTCTGGAGATGGATCCAACTGCTACTCTCAAATCACTGGGGGATGAATTGCTGAATCTCACCAATGTCAGAGATGATACATTGCGGCTCATTGTGCCTACTAATAAAAGTTCAAGGCTTTTGTATCCTTTCTCTGAAGAGCACTCCTGTCTAAAATTGGAAGCAGCATCGATCCTCGAGGTGTTTTTATTAGTTTCTGCTCTAGTTTGTGAATGTATTATACTAAATAGCTATTGAGCTGGCTGTCTACTTGAATTCTGGATAGGGTTTTTGGGATTATGTATGCTTGAGCACTTAATTTTGACAGATGTGTTTGTCCTCTTATTTTTTATATGCTATTACTGATTATTCTACTAAAACATCTCAATTTAACACTTTATTTTTTGAGAGTTAGCTTGATGAATATCGGAAATCATGTAACATTTTCCACTCTTGGAAGTAGGCTTTTCCTTCGAAATCTGACTTGAAGGAGTTGTAGCCGTAAGTTAGTTTTCCAAAGGCACATCGCAAAAAAAATATATTTCAGCAGCTTTGACGGTTTGAGTGTACTTCTATTCTGAAATGAATGCTTCTTCTATTTACTTCTTTGTTAAAACTAAACTTTCAATGGATAAATAAAATTCATGAAATTGATTCCTGTATGGTCAGTGTCTCCTTGTTTAATATAAATCTTTCTGTACAAAATGGTTGCGTTATACAGCTGAGGGATGATTCTACATCTTGTCTACATGCTTTCTTCTCTATTCCTCATTTATGTGTTCGTATGATCTTGTGTATGTTTCTTTATGAAATATGACAAAAATTAAGGCATGGTTCTGAGTTTCTATTTCTTTTAGAAAGGTTATGTATGTGTCGTGAACCCTCGTTATTTCAAACATCGATTCTATTGAAAATTTTATCATTCTGTAGAATCTTGTACAACTGTCTGCTAAAATGATTCGAGTGAATTTTTTCCTGAATGATATGTCATATTTATGGCTTTGAATTTCTGTTGCATTAAACCTATACAAAGAAAAATGTATACCATAATTCTTGTGCTTGTGGAAGAGTTGGCAATTCTTAAAGACATAATCAACTTCTGGGGTGAATATCTCTTTATTTTAACCTTATCACATAGTGTATTAGGTATTTATGCATTTCCAAACAGTGAAAAGCCTAAGTAACTCGTTTATCATACTCTTTAAGCTGAACCTTCCAGACTATTTATTTGGGCTTAAATGGCAAATGCCTGATGTTTTTTTGTTTCAGGGGAAGTCTATGCGGATGCTGGGAGTTCCCAAAGATGAAGTAGATGACATTTTACAGAGTGCAAAGGCAGACCTCAGGATTGTGGGTTTTGATGAAGAGGAAAAGAGATTGAGGCAAAGAATCTCAAATGGGCTTCAAAGTTCACTAAAGCTTCCACAAGGGCCTTATGTCTTTTGTGATTTTCGGACACTCCACCTTCCAGGTGTAGAGGTATAGCTAGCTCTAAAATGTAACCACTATCTTTCCCTACAGTTGAAACTAAAAAAGTACAGTCTGACCAATGAGTAAAATAACGTTTCTAACCTATCTGGATTTCAAGTGAAAATATACTGACATATTCGTAAGTAAGACAAAGACAACATTGCTCTCACACTTGGTTTTCCACTGTTAGATATCTTATATCAGAATGGATAATTGACTTTCTATTCAGCATTATATCACTTTGAAAAACAGGTTGAGCGAAAAGTTTACAGGAAATAATCTATGAAGCTTTATGTTCATATATGGGGAGAACAAGGATAATTGTGTGGAGAGGCTTGACTTACCTCCTTTTGAATGTTTGGCCATATGGCTGTCCAACGGGACAAAATTAACGGGACGGGACGACATTTAGCCGGGACGGGACGAAACGGGACGGGACAAACGGGATGAAACAGTAGGCGCATCCCGTCCCGCTAACAAACGGGATGGGACGGGATGAAACGGGACGAAACGGTAGGCCCATCCCGTCCCGCTAACAAACGGGATGGGACGGGAGGGGTTCGCGGGCCTTAAGTGCCGTTTAAAAAAAAATTTAAGCATTAAGTTTGGCAACGGCTATTTTTTTGACAATGACTAAGTTTTTAAAGTTTGCAACGGCTAGTTTTTTGACTTATTTAATAAACTTAAAAATTAAACGGAAATTAGAAAACTAAGTAAAGAATTATAAAATATTAAAACAAAAGACTTGTAATGAAATATTCTAGTAATTATAAATTTATAATAGAGTTATAATTTATTTAATATGATTTCAAGCCATTAAGTAACTAAGTAAGAGTGTAAGACAATTCATAAAAAAAATTCTAACGCTTAGAGCCTTTTATTTTATTAATAGAACTTTCAAATCTAACATACAAATATAATTCTTTTGAAGAGCACCTAATCTACGCAGCCACCTTCTAGGAAGGGTTCTGTTTGAACTAGGCCTCTTAGTAGCCAATTACAAATTATCATACTAATATTTGTAAGTTTCTATATAACTTTGTTGTAATTTATCTATAATTTCTCTCGGACATTGTTCTGGAATTGGCAATGTTGATTGATGTTCCATGAGTTCCATGCCGTCACCGCTCCCCAGTGCTAAGTATCTCATTGTATTCTTCTTCTTCCCTGGTGGTTAATTTTTCAAAACCAAGATTTCTTCTTTATGAATTAATCCAATCTCTGAATAATACGGAAATTTCTAGGCTGTCTTCCGCTAATGAATGTCTATGATCTCCGATTTGAAATCTTGCCGCGCTAAAAATACTCTCCGATGCTACTGATGATGCTTGAATAGCAAGGATATCTCGTGCCATTATTGAAAGTGTTGGAAAAGTCTTGCCACGCTCCCTCCACCATGCCAAAAGTTGTTCGTTGCCTTCTTCGTCTTTAATACTTTTCAATCCTTGATTAAGATAAGAATCAATTTCATCATCAATAGAGGAATCAAAACCTGTTATATCATCCATATCTTCCCATAAAACTTCTACTCTAAGACTTAGAAGTTTCACCACCTGTTGTTTCCATAGATTTATATTTATCAAACATTGATCTAACATAAGAATATATGTTAACTTGGCAGTCTTCGAGAGATGGTTGTTCATTTTCTTGAATGATACGCAAAAATTATATATTAAAATTAGGAGATGAAATGAGTGCACCGTGATTAAATATTGAAACTTGAAGAAATTGCCCAAAATATTGCTCCAAATACTTGACGAATTAATTTGAAACTTGAAAGTTGCTCCAAAAATTTGCCCAAATACTTGAAACTTATCACTTGATAGTTGATAGTGAGAAAATTGAGAGAATGTAAGAGATTTGAGAGGGAATGATTGATTTTTGTGGGAAACAATGAAGAAGGATGGGGGTATTTATAGTAGAAAATAGGGCCAAAGTATAATTTAATAAACTTAGGGGTTATATTAAAAGTTTGAGGGTAGGAGTGTTTTGGGGGGGTGGAGGCCAATTATAGCCGTTTTTATCCGTTGGGAACGGCTATTTTTGCAATTGGAGCCGTTGCCCAACGGCTAGAATTCTCAAAAAAAAAAAAAAAAAAAAAAAAAAAAAAAAAAAAAGGATGCGGGACGGGACGAAATGGCCATCCCGTGTCCCAAATTAAGTGGGACAGGATGGGACGCGGGACGGGACAGCCCGTCCCGTTGGACAGCCTTATTTGGCCGTATTTCATATGCTGTGATTATTCATTAGTTGTCTGTAACCGAGTTGGTATCCATCTAGCAGACCTTCTTGTGTTTCAGGAAGTTGGTTGCTAACTCTTTTTACTTCTTGTGCAATGTTGAGGCCACAGAAATATGTTCCTTTTACTTGTTCTTTTACTGGTGTTCTTCCTTATTCTTTACTGGTGTTTTTTCTTGTTTTGTTTACTTATGCTTTTACCGGTGTTCTTCCTTATTTCATTTACTTGTGTTTTTAATGTTTCTTCCTTATTTTTGTTTTATTTTTGTGCCCTTCTGGTCTTGGGGATTATCCTTCTTTTTTCTTCCCCTTTTGGATAAGTGGTTGGGCATCATCTTTTTATTTTAGTTTCACCTAACTGAGTCAAATCTATTACTTTTGCCAGGGTCATTGTGATGTGATTAGTGCAACGGGTGGGTGACAAATTGGGAAGGGGATATGTAGGTTTTCCCCCCGAAATTTGTTGAGGCTAGATATCCGCATGTAATTGGACTATTGGAGTCTGAGGTTTCGTAACTTGGTACATAATGCACAAGATGCATTGGCCTCTTAGTTGGATAGAGATTAGAGGGTCTAGTAATGATATTACTTGTTACTCTTTGTAAAATCGGTGTGACTATGAGTAGATTTATTGACCTCAACAAATTTTTCAATTTGTATCGGATAAAGAGGATTGAGAGATGGATTCATTATATTGATATTGGTAGTTTTTTGAAAGTAGCAGAAATGAGAATGTTGAGATGGATGTGTGGGCATATCAAGAGAAATCAGATTTAGGAATGAAGTTATTCAAGGCAAAGTGAGAGTGGCCCCCGTGGAGGACAAGATGCGGGAGTCGAGGTTGAGATGGTTCGGGCACGTGAAGAGGAGAAGCACAAATGCTCATGTTAGGAGGTGTGAGAGGTTGACCATGGGCGGGTCTGAGAAGAGGTAGAGGTAGGCCAAAGAAGTATTGGGAAAAGGTGATTAGGCAGGACATGGTGCCGATTCACCTCACTGAGGACATGACCCATTATAGGAGGATGTGGAGGTTGAGAATTAAGGTATAAAGCTAGAAGGTAATCGAGATTTCCCTTTTCATTACTAGTAGTATTAGTAGCACTCTGTATGTTTATATTCTTCGATCTCAATTATTTGCATGTTGTTTCGTTTGATCATGGGTGCGTCTATAGCGTCGCCATACCATATATATGCGTATATAACGCCATCGGAGCCTCACACGGACTCATTATATATATATATATATATTTTCGTTTGATCATGGGTGCGTCTATAGCGTCGCCATACCATATATATGCGTATATAACGCCATCGGAGCCTCACACGGACTCATATATATATATATATATATATATATGCATGTGCAAGAGCCATAAAGAGACATCATGAACTTATCGGAGTGACGTAAGGTCGTTACACCTCCGAACAACGTTAAGAGACTGGCATCGTTATCGTTACATGACTCTAGAGAACTTACAAATCATAAGAATAGACTTTCTGGAGACAATACTATTTGATCATGAATTCAATATGGAGGTTTCTAGCTACTAAGAGTGGAGTCGTTATGGCGTAGCGTTTCGTTCTCGGCTTCTCCTTTACTCCCCTTTTTTCTTTTCGTCTTTTGTCTTCTTCCTTCTTTCTTTCTTCTTCCTCTTTCTATTTCTTCCCTTTTCTTCCTTTTTCATCTTTTCTTGAGCCGAGAGTCTATCGGAAACAACAACTCACCAGGTGTGCTGAGTGCGGTTGTTCTCAGCTCTTTAGCGCCCTATGGCTCTGCTACCGTGATGCTTGGCCGAGCCTCCCTACCGATGTATCGATCCCGCACATTTAGCCCAGTCCTAGACCCCATTTGTGGGATTATACTGGGTATGTTGTTGGTGTTGATATTGTTAGTTTTCCATTGTAATATGAAGTTAAGATTGGTTGTTTTAGGATAAATATGTGCTGTAAACCAAGATTTGTTTTCTATTATTCAAAGAGAGATTTTTTAATTAATTATTTAATTATTTGGCTCATCAGTTTTTTTTAACACCTTTCCCTTTGAACAATCACGCCCCTTGGGGTGCGGCCTTTCCCCGGATCCTGCGGGAACGCGGGATGCCTTGTGCACCGGCTGCCCTCTATCCCTTTGAACAATGTTGTGTTAATAGATTAGCTGTGAGTTACTGCAATATCTATTTTTCCCTTCTCTTTAATTGCATTTTGAGATGTGCTGATCATGTTGGCAAGAAATACAGCTTCTAAATATTGTATTTGGTGATTCTGTAAATGTGAAGGGAGAGAAATTCCATGCTTTTGTATGTCTTGGCTGTTATTGTCCTCCTGAGGATATGCAGGTCTATTTTGCCTTTAGAGAAATGTCGTTATTGCTTTTTACTGAGGTCAGCATGACCGTTCTAGATGTGGAGTTTGTTTAATTATCTCCCGAATTCCCCTGCTTGTGAGAAGGGAATGTACTATTCTCTCTCTCTCTCTCTCTCTCTCTCTTTTGAGAAGTTAACTCCTTTACTTTTGTTTTATTATCTCGTTTTTATTCAAAACAAATAGTAGTTATCGAGAGATTGTATTCTTTGACAGTGGAATCACAATGTTGCCACATGTTTACGAAATTGTTGAAATTTAATCTCCTTTCTGGGGGCGCATGTGACCAAGCATAGCCGGTAATGGAGAAGAATTGCGATAGGTTGATTTCCAGAATACAGATAGTCTAAGTATGATGAATCCTATGAATGGATACATATGATTCATAGAGTCAACTTTTACAAGTAGGTTTATTTGACAACCAATTGATGTAGTGTTCCCTTGGCTGCAGTTGAATCCTCCTGCTTCAAAAGCTTTAAAACTAATGCACAAGCTTGCTGCTGATCCAGGAATAGTTGCAATCATGAATAAGGTAAGTCTAGAAAGGTTTTCCTATCTCAACTTAATTACGTAGAATTACTTTGTTGATATGTGCTATCAGTTGTTGTAAACTTCCGTTCATTGGGCTTCTTAAAGCATCGCTGGCGTGTGGGTATCATGACAGAGATGGCACCAGAAGGCTATGTTGGTGTTAGTCCTAAATGCATTCTTGGTTTCAATAAGGTGAGCAACCCTTACCCTAGTTCCTTTCTCCCCTGAAGAAGTAGATACAGAACAGGATAATGTACATAATACCGAACCCATAAATTTCATACTTAATCATCTTAGTTCTTTAATTATTTCCCCATTAGTTTTTGATTTGCTAATATGATGCTCTTTTCTTCCATTTAAAAGTATCTTTGATAATTTCTGTTAAATAACCATATTCAGAATCATGGAGAGGAGATATCACTACGTCTTCGTACAGATGACCTCAAGGGTTTCAGGAAGTACGATAGCATCAAGAAAACTCTCTTGCATGAACTTGTGGGTGGTCCTCTCTGAATCTTTGTTTTCCAATTAAAAATATTTGAAATGATAAGTTAGTCTGTGATTTTCACGGTGAGTAATTCTTCTGTGTTCCTAACTTATATTGTTTCCATTTTCAGGCACACATGGTACACTCTGAACATGATGCGAACTTCCATACTTTGGATAAGCAGGTAAAATGTTAATAATCCCATTTTTCATTCTTTGCTTCCTCAGTGGCAAGGAGTTCAATAAATATTTAAGCAAAAGGCTGGGACGGCCTGTTTTTAGCCCCTAAACTAAGATTAGTTCTGCTTATCTGTGCCATCCAACAACAACAACAACTATGCCTCAATCCTAAACAATTTGGTGTCGGCGATATGAATCCTCATCCCTTTCATTAAGCTCAACTCATATCGTCATCATTACCAAAGTAAAATATAAGTGCAAGTAAAAAAAGATAAATATATACTCCCTCTGTTCCAGTTTATGTGAACCTATTTCCTTTTTGGTCCGTTCCAAAAAGAATGACCTCTTTCTAAATTTGGAAATAATTTAGCTTAAACTTACAATTCTACCCTTAATGAGAAGCTTTTATAACCACACAAATACTCTTGGCCCCTTTTTTACTTGTTTAGGACCACAAATTCCAAAAGTCTTCATTTTTTCTTTAACTCCGTGCCCAGTCAAACAGGTTCACATAAATTGGAACGGAGGGGAGTATAAATAAGAGTAATAGTAGGTAGTAGGTATATAACCATGTCTAAAACCTATTCCCAGCTAGTAGGTATCACCTATATGGATTTTCCTCTTCCATTGTGCCTTATCTTCAACTAAGTCGGCATTGGTTCCAAGAATTTGTAGGTTTTTTGAGAAAACTTCCTTCCATGTGATTTTAGGTCTACGCGTCCCCTTTTAACACCTTCCACCAGTCTGCTTATCTCCGCAATATTCTGGTTAAATGTGCAAGAGATATTAAGATTAGATCTTTCTGGCAGCTCAATGAAGAAGCTGCTAAGTTGGATTGGACTAAATCAAGAGGCTATACCTTGAGTGGTGGCAGTTTGCAACACTATGAGGACGGCGAGGACAATAATAATCACATTGGGTTATCACATAAACTTGGAGGACAAAGTTCAGTTTTCAATGCTCGAGCATCTTCAGTGGTTGCTGCCTACAGCCGTTTAGCACAGGCATCCACCAACCACTCAGAAGCAATTAATATGAATCAGGAATCTATTTCTGGTGGTTCACTTGATATTGATCAGCAATCCAATCATACGGATGCTCTACTGGAAAAGCACCTAAATGATGCAAAAATAAAGTCTTTGGAGAAATGCAATGATGTATTTAGCGCTAATGTCCCATCTGATGATCATAGAAAATCTGAACCTGATCCTGATGACTATGAGGCTGGCTCTCCCATGAAACATGAGCCTAGTACAGAACCCGGAGCTAAATTACGTGAAGAACCTGAAGAACCTGACCCGGATGATTGCTCTTTAGAAAAACACAATATAGGAAGTCCTATTTCTGTGGAACCTGATCCCGATGAACACGCTATGGAGATTGCAAAGGAAGTAATATCTGGTCAAAATAGCCATGTTCCACTGGGGTATCATGTAAATGAAGAAGAGAGTGGATCTTTTACACACAAGAATCGAGTTGATTTCCCTGAACGAATCAAGCTAGAGCCATATACTAATGATAATGATATAATACCAGATGGAGTCTCAAGTACAGTGATCGATGAGCCTGATCCAGATGACCAGGAATTACAGAGGATACAAGACCCTGTAGCGATTGTTTGCAGTCGACTGCAGAAAGCAATAGGGGTGCTGAGATCTCAAGCCAATCCCCTGGAGGCCTCTAGAGTAGTGCAAACTATATTGAAAATTGTAAGGTAAGTTGAACTTGAATCTTCCATTTAAGTTAGAAATTTTTTATCATACATGAGCTTTGGATTGAAGTTTGGCAATGCAACTGTTTGTAGGAATGTAATTGAACACCCAGACGAAGTGAAATTCAGAAAGTTGCGGAAGGTCTGTGATTTACTATAATGGTCTTAAGTGATTTACTTTTGTGTGGAATTAATCTTAATTTGTTCATCACAAATTGATTGCAGGCCAATCCTCTAATTCAGAGGGATGTGGCGAGTTATCCAGGTACATGATTTTCCAGATCTATTGCAATTTATTTTCCTTTCTGCGAAATTCCTCCTTCAACAGTTCTTTTTCCCCATTCCCGTACTTTCTTATCTCATTCGGAGAGCATTCAGCAATGCTCCCTAATCCATATTGTTAATCTTCTCTTTATCTGATATTCCCTTGGTCCACTTTCCCTGTATCTATACATCTGTTAACTCCGTCTTAATAAAGCTTCTACTCTTTATCAGGTAGCGAATTTTGCTTGTAAATAACTCTTCATGAAACTCTGGGATCTTTCAATTTGCGAGACAATTTACCTCATTGTTAATTACTGAAGCATGAATTTGCACTCAAGCCCTAATTGTATGTTTAAGGGTGTGAATTGCAATTTTCTTTCCATGTGCCTAACATTTTGGTAAAAGATCTGTGGAGTTAAAAGATCTTTGCCGAAGTAGTCAGAGGTTCAAGTTGATGTACAAGCTAGCTTAATTGACCAAGGCCGAGGTTTGGTATCGAATTGAAATTCTATTTAGGTGAAATTGTTGCTTAATGGTACTTGTTATGATAGATGTTATTTGCGGAGATTCAAAACATATTTGGTGATCCCATGAACATGCACATAAAGGAATTGTATGGACATCATTATCCCATGATGTTGCTTAATGGTACTAGTCATAGTTATATGCTTTTTGATCAGTAGGTGTTCCTTTTCCTTCTCTTTGCATCTTTTTGCTTGCTGAGCATCCTTAGCTGTAAATACTCATTTTGCTTTGCGCTCTGTGGTTGCAGCTGCTATGGACATCCTGTCTGTGATTGGATTTAGCGAGGATGCTGTTATCGATTACACTGGTAGAATGGAAACTTATTTGGTCCTCAAAAGGAATGATCCAGGATTATTGTGGCTTGCCAAGTCTTCCCTTGAAACCTCCATTGCCTAGTGAACTTGTACCATATGTAAAATGATGCATTTGTTTGTGAAAAAATGGAAAAAGAATGAAGACATTCTTTATGGTGTGTAGCATTTGTATATCACAATTCTGATATTTTTTCTTTTCCTTGTATATAAATCCTTATAGAAGGTTCGAGCAATTGTGTTTGATGAAATAATACATAAACCAGGACGTCATTTCTAATGCAAGTTGAGTTGATTCTCTTATTAGCTTGTTTTAACAGATGTTACTACTCATAGGATTCATTTAGTTGATTTTAACTAATTTGGGATTATTCTGAGGAGGTAAATTATAAAGCAGTTGCGAAGACGTAGCCGCTTCTAGCAAGGTGTTCTTCTGTGACATTAGTGCAAGAACTTGACAAAAAAATTCCTTTTGGTATTTCTACAACATTGTAAGTGCTAATGATCATTGATGGTGGATGTCCAAAAGCCAATCTTTCCAGAGTTAAAACAAGCCACAGTCTAAATACATCAAAAGGACTTTGGCTCCCAACTTTTGCTCTTGTATTGCAAAAAGGAAGAAATTGAAGATATTCCCTTCTGAAAAAAGCTTCTCAGATTCCTAGATGACCCACAACAAAGATTTTGGAAAACATTTTCTCTAGGTTCCTGCTAAAAAGAATAGGGTATAATGGCATCTATTTTGACAATCACACAGTTGAAAAATAGCATAAGCAAATTGATTTTACAAGAAATTGCTTCATTACCATTCAATGTGGTGTATGCATAGATATCAAAAGAAAAGGCAGATGACAGGAGAACAACATATGCCATTCTTCCAGAAAAGAGAAAAAGCAAAAGTACTTCTAAAGTTTCAAGACTAATGAAACAAGCAAGTGGTAGTACAGAAATTGGTGTGTGACCACACATGCTATTCCTCTTTATCATGATCAATCGTTAGAATAATTGGACTTTCAATTTTGTTTTTGAAATTGCAAACATGTTATAAGAAAAAATCAAATTATGGTGGATGTCTACTCTTCCTCCATGATCTTCTCAAATGCTTAATGACATATTCAATGACATATTTCTATGCTTAATGACATATTCAATGACATATTTTTCTTCACTTTTCATGCCTATATAAAGGCTTTGTAATAGATAGGAAAATATACATAATTAAAGAAGAAAATCTCTTCTTTCTCTCTATCTCCATTTCTTGTTCATGTTTTACTAAATTGCTTTTATTTCATAACAACATGTCTTGTTCATGTTTTACTAAGTTGCTTTTATTTTATAACACGTTATCAGCACGAATTGCTCATTTCATAATCTTCTATGTCAAGACTATGTAAGTTATAAGCAGGCAATGAGATCAAGTACAATGAAAAATGTCTTGGATGATAATACAAAGATAAGTTTTACATCCATCTAAACCCATTCATATTTTCATATCTTTGCATTAACTTTATGTGCAGTATTTAGTAAAAATATTTTTTTCAATTGTATCCAGTAAAATAAAGAACTGGAAAGGTATGTCTTTATTTGCTACATCTCTTATAGGACAAAGATAATATTCCAACGTATATATATATTCTGACCTTTTACATACTATGATAGATAATTATTAAGATAATTTAGTAATAATATTTTTACCATAACATGATGTATTTCATTGAAAGCAAAATTGGCATATATCCTAATGAAATACATCATGTTATGCCAACACATTATGGCCTAGCATGCCTTTATGTGTAAAGCATTGGGTTTGAGTCCTAATGCACCATATTGATAATAATAATAATAATAACTAAAGAAAAAATAATGTAATTTTCATGAAAAAGCATGAAGCCTGTCCCACTTGATTTGCTCCATTCTTGAAGTGAATGTGATAGCAGTGCATGATAAGTCTAAATAAAGACAAGTGGTTGACCAATGAATGTGGGCGTGCGAAAGGCCAAAATAATAATAGTTATCACTATGGTAATTATAAAAAGGGAGAAATTCTTTGAAGAGAATGTGACTTGTGATAAACATTGAGATTGGATACTCATTCCTGAAAGCGAATGTGAAAATATATATATGATAAAGATTATGCATAATAATATACTTGTGCATAGTTGGATAAATACTACAACTCACCTCTAAGGGAGGTTTGAGACAAAGAAAGATAATGAATATTATTGTGTAGTTATATGAATATATCATTGGTCGCATGCATGTGATACGCCAAAAAATATTTTGTCATGCCTTATGAAAGTTATTAAAAGCAAAATTAAATCAAGAAATTATTTTGCTTGTGATGATTTTGACCATGACAATTATTATGATATGATTCTCTTTGTGAAGGAGACATTCATTATATGGATGGTGTGACAAAAAATCTTGTAGTACAAAAGCAGTTAAGAGTTCTAAAAGAACTAATTTATTACTACCCAGATAAATAAAACTGTTCATGACATTAATATTGTAGTAAGTATCAAAAGAAATATTTTGAATTTACAAATATATTAGCCAAAGTAGTTGGCATATTGAAACTATAAATGAAAAGAAGATTGAATATCTTTATATTACTATAATCATACCGGGTAAATATGAAAGGTTACCTGACTTTTCTTCTATTTGTACTACACAAGTATAAGCATGATGATGCAATCACAAGCCACAAGTAAACTAGAGGTTTACTGAAATAAATATTAGTTGGCATGACCGGTTGACCATCTCGGTTCAATTATGATGCGAAAAAATTAATTGAGAATTACATTGGCATATATTGAAGAAATATAAGATTCTTCAAGAATTTTCTTGTGCTGCTTATTCTCATGATATACCAGTTAAGGTTAGGGATTGAATCCCTTGATTTCTGGAACGAATAAAAGGTGATAAATATATGGGCCCAGTCACCTTCCATGTGGACCGTTTACTATTATATGATTTTAATAGATGCATCTATGATATGGTCACATGTGCATTTGTTATCAACTTGTAGTTTGGCTTTTGCAAGATTGATCGATCAAATTATTAGAGCACAATTTCAGAATATAAATTATGATGATTTATCTTGATAATACTAGTTTAAATCCAAGTTGGTTTAGCAGAAATTGTATGCCTCCAATTATATCTAAACCATTGGTTATGAGAACAAAATTGCCAAAATAAAATTTGATATGTGATGTATTATTTAGTATACAATAACACTTGTACGCATCTAGCCAAGTTATGATAAGTTCTCCCTATCATAATCTGTTCAGGGTCAGGAGCCAAATAATTTCCATCTAGAAATATGAATGTGCTATATGATTTAATTATTCTACCACAATGCATAAAGATGGATCCCCAAATAAGGCTAGGGATATGTGTTGGTGATCTCAACAATAGGGGGAGAAAATGGGAAGCTGAAAAAGTAATGCATGTAATGAATTATTATGAGTACATCGAGATCCTCGTACGAGAAAATGTGAACTTGAAGTTCAAGTGATAATTCATTTGCAAAATATTGCCAGACGTATTTGCTGACCCAAAACTAAATGTCATATTCAGCTGCTAATGCTCCAAATAAAATAAAGTTCATAATGAATAGAGTCCATGGCATGCATAAAGCATAATAGACTAATCGGTTCCAAAGATAAAACTCCTTGAAGAAGGAGAGGAGCAAATGTTCAAGATGGTCATAATAAGGAGGCAATTGCTCTAGAAGAGTACCACGGCATAACACTTCATAAGATCTCATGGGAGAGGCTCAAGTACCTGAAAATAATAAGAAAAAGAGATCTCAATAAGTTATGTCTTTATTGGGTAATAGTAGAACCGATATAAAATGATCGTCGACGATACTGTTAATATAATGTAGAGCTCAATATTATTAATATTGACGAGGATCTTGAGCTCAAATCTGTCATGAAATTTGGACAGATAAATGATTGGCCAAATGAAAAATACGCAATGAAAATTGATTTCACCTGAAAAATATGAAGTTAGATGGATAGTCCCAACACATGAAAGTATAAAGCCAGTGGAGGTATAAATGTGTTCTTGTGCGGAAAAAAAAGGTCAAGTCGATNAGAATTTTTGTCCATCAATAAACATACACTAAAATAATTTTAAAGCTATTTTATATGGATAAAGCACATCCATTTCGACCTCATGAAAATAATGAAGAGTTTCTTGACCCCGACGTACCATATCTTAGTGCAATTGGTGCACTAATGTATCTTTCTAACATTACAAGGTCTGACATAACTTTTTCAGTTAATGTCTTAACAAGATATAGCTCTGCTCCTACAAGGAGACATTGGAATGGAATCAAACACATATTGCGGTATCTAAAAGGGACTACCGATATGAGATTATTTTATGGAAATAATTGCAGTCCTGATCTTGTTAGTTATGCCGGTGCTGAGTATTTATATGACCCACAAAAGGTTTGATCTCAAACAGGCTATGTGTTTACATATGGAGGCACTGCCATATCTTGACGATCGACTAAGCAATCAATCGTGGCTACTTCAATTAATCATGCTGAGATAATTGCTATTCATGAAGCAAGTTGAGAATGTGTATGGTTGAGGTCTATAATACACCTTATTCGAGATAAATGTGGTTTGAAGTGTGACAAACTACCCACAATTTTGTATGAAGACAATGCAGCATGCATAGCCCAGTTGAAGGGAGGATTCATAAAAGGGGATATGACAAAGCACATTTCACCAAAGTTATTTTTCACACATGATCTTCAAAAGAATGGTGATATCAATGTGCAACAGATCCGTTCAAGTGATAATATGGCTGATTTGTTCACGAAATCTCACCGACGTCAACCTTCAAGAAACTAGTGTACAAGATTGGGATGCGAAGGTTCAAGGATGTGAATTGATGCTCTCATCAGGGGGAGTTAATACGCGTTGTACTCTTTTTTCTTACACGGTTTTGTCCCACTGGGTTTTCCTTGCAAGATTTTTAAAGAGGCAGCCAAAATGCGTATTTCTAAACATGTGTACTCTTTTTCCTTCACTAGGATTTTTTTGACATAGTGTTTTTTCCTAATAAGGTTTTAACGAGACACATTATCTATGGACATCCAAGGGGGAGTGTTATAAGAAAAAATAAATTATGGTGGATGTATACTCTTCCTCCATGATCTTCTCAAATGCTTAATGACATATTCAATGACATATTTCTATTATTAATGACATATTAAATGACATATGTTTCTTCACTTTTCATGCCTATATAAAGGCCTTGTAATAGATAGAAAAATACACACAATTGAAGAAGAAAATCTCTTCATTCTCTCTATCTCCATTTCTTGTTCATGTTTTACTAAATTGCTTTTATTTCATAACATGTCTTGTTCATGTTTTACTAAGTTACTTTTATTTTATAACAAAACAAATGTATTCAAAGAATATTTAGATCTGATTAATTATATAGTTGCTCATTTTATATCTTTCTTAGTACTTGATACTACATGATTTATCAGCCAAGTGTATACCTAAATTTGTACCCAATTAATTTTCATGTGTTACAAATTTTGTATGGTTACGTTACTTATAGGCAACCCGCTCCACAATGCATTCTGTGTTCACGCGGAGTCCGGAAAAAGGTCGCACTCCAAGAAGCGTGATGTAGACAGCGTACCCTAATGCAAGACATTAGCGACTGCGTTCACGGGTCGAACTCGTAACCTACAGATCACATGAAGACAACTTTACCGTTGTTCCAAGACTCCCTTCAGAATTTGTATGGTAACGTATTTATACTATATTAGAGCTATAGTTATAGTTCTAGGATCAGTTAGTATTGTCATTATCTTGGTCTACAAATGATATAAGAATAAGATAAAAGATCATCATGTGATGATAATTACTCAATATGTTAGCTTCTTTGGTTTAATTATACAGTATCTGAAATTTATTGGCTAGATTAATCCTGAATCGCGCTGGATAGACTCACTATAGAAGGCAATTAGACCCTCCCTACCGAAAACCACTCTATATCAACAATTGATTTAATCATAGATTGGATATCTACGGTGAGAAGGGGAGCATTGGAAAACAATAAAGTTGTCTTCACCTATAAGTCACGGGTTCGAGCAGTGGAAGCAACCACTAATGCTTGTATTATAGTATGTTGTCTACATTACACCCCTTAGGGTGCGGCCATTTTTCGGACCCTGCATGAATGCAGAATATTTTGTGCACCAGACTGTTTTTTTTTTTTTTTTTTTTTTTGNACATGATGATGTGCCTGTCGATGATCGATATGTTCAAGAAGTCATCAAACTTGTCTCCTCCAACAAAGCCTATGCAGCTGCCTGTGCTCGTGCCATTGGCAAACGTATTGGTAGAACGAGGAATTGGATCGTTGCCCTTAAATCGTTGATGCTTGTCCTAAGAATTTTCCAAGATGGTGATCCTTATTTCCCTCGAGAAGTTCTTCATGCCATGAAACGAGGGGCCAAGATTCTCAACCTCTCTAGCTTCCGCGATGATTCCAATTCTAGTCCATGGGATTTCACAGCTTTTGTTCGTACGTTTGCTCTGTATCTTGACGAGCGTTTGGATTGTTTCCTTACTGGTAAGCTTCAAAGAAGGTATAATAATCGCGAAAGAGAAAATTCTAGCAGCCATTATAGGACTAGTATGAGTAGTCGAAGAAGGGGTGATGAGCCCGTTCGTGACATGAAACCAGTAATGCTGCTTGATAAGATCTCGTATTGGCAACGATTGATTGAAAGAGCAATTGCTACAAGGCCAACAGGGGCAGCTAAGACGAATCGTCTTGTCCAAATTGCTTTATATGCTGTTGTTCAAGAAAGTTTTGATCTTTACAAAGATATATCAGATGGGCTTGCTCTTGTTCTTGATAGTTTTTTCCATTTACCATATCAATCATGTGTAAATGCATTCCAAACTTGTGTCAAAGCAGCAAAGCAATTTGAAGAAATTGGTGCTTTTTATTCTGTTTGTAAAAGTATTGGAGTTGGCAGGACATCAGAATATCCAAGTGTACAAACTATATCAGAGGAATTGATTGAAACATTACAAGAATTTCTCAAAGATCAATCTTCATTTCCAGCACATACACAAAGCAAACCACATTTGCTTCTTCCGGGACCTGGTGGTTCAACGAGGACGACGAGCAGCAAACGTGATAGTTATGGCGGACAATCTGAATTTTCAATGGCCACAGAAACGACAGAGCCATACTCGGAGAGGAGTATTAATTCTGGTGTTGATTCGCGTTGCACATCATTAGAAGATCTAATAAGTGCAACCGAAACATGGAAGAGTCCAGCCAATATTTCGATTGATTTGGAGGCCTATTCGGATATTCAATTTGAGAAGCAGTTGCATGAGAAGGACGATACGGGGTCTACTCATTCATTGCCTGTGTCAAATTCAATGGTTGATCTTGTATCCTTACCAGATTGGCAAGGATATGATGAAGACGACGACAGAAAACAAGAAGAGGATAAACAACAAAAGCAGGAGGCAGTGAAAGATCAAGAAATCAACAAAGAAAAAGCTGCACATCAACAAGAGCATAAACAGAATCCATCATTAGATTCTAATTCAGCAAAAGAATGGGAACTCGTGTTAACTGAGGCGATACCATCAACATCTTTCAACGCGTTCCCTGAACAACCAAAACCTGAACATTTGCCTAGAAATGAAGCAAAAGGGTTGTTTACTGAGGCGATGATAACACCATCAGCATCTTTCAACGCGTTCCCAGAACAAGGACAAGAAAACGCGCCAACAAATGAAGCAAAAGGATCATCAACTGAAGAGGTTTCTTCAAGCAATGGCTGGGAATTGGTACTATTCGAAAATATTCCACAAGCACAATCGACACAATCCATGCCTAGTACAACGAACAGCGTTAACAGCTTCAACTTCACCACCTTGGACGAATTGTATAATCAGAATCCAATGCCAATGTTTCCAAATGGTGGCCAAAATTCACAATATACACCTAGTACAAACAACTTTTGGAATGATCAGAATCTGTCCTTGAACTTGCCACCTCCAAATAATGGGCTAAATATGTATACTCAAGATCCAGTTTTGCCAACAGCTCAACACTACAATCCTTTTTTACAAGATACATCAATGGACTTGGCCATGGTACCGGTCACCACTGCTACCACCACTGCCACTGCCACGTACCCGACTATGGCCACCAATGCTCCGTTTACATTTCCGACGTCTACTGACATGTTCTCATCATCAACTCCAGCACCTACATTCCAAGCAACTCCAACTTTTAGTGCTCAGAATCCAACTTCAGGGGCAGTGCAGAGTAGTGTGGAGGATCCATTCGCGACGTTTTCAAGTAGTGATCAGATGTTTAATGGCATCCCGAATGAGCAGAATTTGTTGCATGAACAACAGTTATGGTTGCAGAACCAAAACAAGATCATAGCAAAACATATGACTTGATTTATATACGTGTGTAAAATGAATAAATCTTGTTGTTATGTTTACATTTTTGCTTTTTGTTAATTCTCCTCCTTTCCAGCATGACACCATTTTCTGATCAGCTTACTCCGTGCATCTAGTTTGTAAAAAATGGCTCAAAAATCAATCAATTTAAATGTAATCCTCGAAACATTTTAACTATCAAATGAATTGTCTCACTTAACAAATTTACTAGTAGTTTAATCAAATGGTCTGAAACAACCATTCAAGCCTTTTACTTCAAAAAGCACTATTTTTCAACATAAACTTCTAAAGATCTTTTTTTTTCAACTTCAATCAAATATTGTCGAAACACCCTAAATATAAATAGCCCGGTCACAGATATACAATGTTCTATATTAAGGGTGTGATTGGTGTGGAGTTCAGAAAATGTTTTCCAATTTCTCATGTTTGGTTGGTTTCTCTAAGAAAACAAGTTCTTTAAAAATCAAGAAATTAACTTTCTTGGTGGGAGTAGAAAAAATAAGTTTCATGAGTGGCATTTCACGATGATTGTCTCCTCCCCAACCCCAAACACCCCATCCCATCCTTCACCTGCACCCCTAAAAAAGTTTCCACTATTTTTGATCTATTTCTAGTGCCTATTGCAATTCTTGGTGTTGGGTGTTTTTAGAATTTGATAAGAATTCGTGTGTTTTTGGTTAAATCTTGTTTTTCTTACAATTCCTGTTGAACAACTAAATTTATTAAATATTAAACAATGAAGACAAAAAGTATTCACTTTTGGTAAATTACAACAACAAAAATAACAAATCCAATATAATATCGCAAATAGGGTATGTGAGGATAATGTGTACGCATAACTTAAGCCTATGATAGACCAATAAAGCAACAAACAATAGCAACAACAAGTTAATAGGGTAACGGAAGCGAATGACACAATGTGTAATAAGAAAGAAGCAGGAATAAGAAAATACAAGAATAGTACTATTACTACCAGTAAGCCTAGGAGAAACTCATGTCAACCTGTCAACCTTCAACCCTAATTCTCGACCTCCACACCTTCCTATCGAGGGTTATGTCCTCGGTAAGCTGAAACAATAACATGCCTAATCACCTCTCTCCAGTACTTCTTTGACCTACCTCTACCCTTCGCCAGACCTGTCACGATCAACCTCTCAGAATGTCTCTATCTCCGTATGCATCACAACATCGATTCCCCCATAGGCACCTCTTCGTTCCATAGAGACCGCAACTTTTGGTAAATTTAAAGGACCTAAACTCCTTAGGAATATATTTAAGGGACTATTTTGGACATAACCATAAGAGCATTAAGATTCATGATTAATATTTTGATCCCATTTTAAATTTGATGCATATTTTAAGTGATTCCATGGTGAGCATTTCCTTGCATTCACACCAATTAGATGGTCAAGTACATTGATAATTTTTTTAAACTTAGACTTCATTTTTCATTTAAAAATCTTAATCCTAAACTCTTTACAAATGAAACCCTTCAACTTCTTGTCCTTCTCGAAACAAACCCTTTAACTTCTAGTCTATTAAATCATCATAGAGTCAGAACTATCAATTAGAAAAATCTTACTTTTTTCCTTTGGCAGAGATAGAGTAGGAGAAACGAACAATGTCGGGAGCAGAAGAAGACAAGAAGCCCGCCGGCGATCAGGCTGCTCACATCAATCTCAAAGTCAAAGGCCAGGTCTTCTTCTTTTCTGTTATCTCCTCTTTCCTCAGTAGTCCCTCGTATGAGTTAATTAGGGTTTGCTTTGGTACCCTATTTGAACTTTTGAACTATATTTGAACATTGAATTCGTTTTTTATGAGCCTGAATATAGCATAATAGATGTCGATTTTGGGATTTATTTAGTAATTAATTGATGGATTAGGCCTTTTTTAGGGTTCCATGGAATTTTTACTGTCATTCTATGATTGTGTGTGGCTACCAGTGTTTTAAAAGGCATTTCTGGGGCTCGCCCCTGGGTGGGGCACTTGCAAAACGCCCGGGGCTCATGTATGGGGCTTAGTTCTGTGAGGCTTACGCCCCAAGCGCCCGACTGTGCGCCCTAAACACGTCTAACGCCCGACGCTCGGGGCTCGCCTGGCAGTTCTAACGCAAATCACGTGTCGAATTTCCTAATTAATATCGTTGACCTTCAAAATTATTTAACAAATTAATGATAAAAGTTTTATTCATCGATATAAATATGAAGCTTGAGCATAACTCTAATAATGAGACATAGTATTGCGAATTTATATATTCACTTGTTATTGGTCGNGGCCTATATATATATTTCACATATTTATAGTTTTCTTCAATTTTTATGCAATTTTACATGTTTATAAATATTTACTGTCATTATATTATTTTATAAAATATTAAAAATTAAATACCTATGGGGCTTACGCCCCGTGCCTCGGGGCTTACGCTTTGCTGAGGCATATGTAAAACGTCTCGCCTTACGCTCACGCCTTTTAAAACACTGGTGGCTACATTGTTGAAAAACTTTAATCACTCATTTGAGCAGCATCATCTGAACTTGACTCGACTAGAAAATTGAAAATTCACCCCACCCCCTAACCCCAACCCGAAAAGAAGAAAAAGAAAGAAAAATTCTATTTCTGTATCCTAATTGTTTATCTGCCCCCAGGGCTTTGGTCTTGTGGTAAGGGAGCAACATGTGATATGTGGATTAGGCGCACGTCACGGGTTCGAATGTCGCCGCAGGCAAAAGCCTCGTATTTTAGTGGAGAAGAGTTG